GACTGAGTCCCATGCCAGAAGGGACAGAAAATTCTGATAAACAGCCTTGGGGGAGGAAAGAAGTGTTCTTAAAAATGGTGAGGTCAGGAAGCAAGAGAATCTTGATGCCAGAAGGGGCTGGTATGTCAGATGGACTTACTCTCTCAGGAAGGGAATGCCTTTCACATCATTCTTCTAGTTGCTGTTTCTTCTCTGACCAAGGTCAGTTTGCTGATGCTGAGAGATTGGTTACTTCACAATCTTGTAAAGATCAAGTTACTTTTAACCTTTCTGTGCCTGTTTCCTCATACTGATACAGCTAAATAATGTTATATCTCATGAGGTGGTCATGAAAATTAAAGGGTAGCGTCTACCTTCTGGGGAGGCTGTAAGGACCAAGTACTTAGCAGGACGCCTAACACATTGTTAAGTGTTTGGTCCAGGGAAGCTGCCATGATTACTGTTGTTATTAATCACAGTGACCGACAGAGATCCAATCAGGAGAATTTGGGCAATAACGGAGGGTGTGGCCTTGAGAAGGCAGAAGTGCTGTCACCTGTCCGGGATATATGGTCAGAGCTCAACCGGAGTGTGGAGACAGAGCGCCTCCCTGCCCCCCGTGCCCCGCCCTCATCATGTCAGAACCGGGCTGGTTCTTGGGACAAGGATGGATCTGCTGCTGAGGCTGGGATTCCAGCAGATCCTTCTCTAAAGAGAAGGAAAGTGGAAGATACCAACTAAGTCTTGAAGGAACGGGCGGCTTAGCTGGGGAGCCAGGAGTCCCACTCACGAACAGTTAAAGCAACAGCACGTCCTGTAGTATTACAGCCACGCAAAGTGAGACCTGTGTTTGGCGACGCAGGTTGGAAAACGACAGCCTGAAAGGACATGACCAAAATGCTCCTGGTGGGAACCTCTGGGAGATGGGAACTTGAGGTTTTCTGCTTTTTTTTTTTCTTTTGAAAAGATCATGACTTTATTTTGTAATTAAGAAAAAAAGAAGTGTTAGTTTTAAGTGATGTAAAGCAGTATAGAACTCAGTTAAGAGTTCTGGAATGCCACAGAGTGAGAAATCGTGTGTTCTAGAACAGTGTGGGAAGACTTCAAAAGGAGGTGGCATTCTGGGGGGCTCCGGAAGGATGGAGAGAGTGTCGATGTACGGAGGGGAGGAGACACTCCATCTGGGTGATCTGAGCAGGTGGGTAATCATGACAGGTGCAGTTATCACCTAACTGCCTCTCAGCTCGACACCTACTTTTTGCCCTGCGTCCTGATTCTGCAGCTGGACCCTGGGGACATTTCTCTTTGGCCCGCTGGCACAATGCCAGACTTTCTCCTGCTCCAGTTGTGTGGGGGAAGGAGAAAGATCCTTCCAACCAAGGAGGGTCTACAAAGAGCAGACCAAGATTAGGCGTATAAAGCGCAAGAAAATGACATAGGGTCTTAATCTCCAGATGGAAGAGGAGTCCATTCGTGAACTGAGAGCCTAGAGAGAAATCTTCCCAACATTTTCAAAGGTCTCCCAGGGCCAGCCTCACACGGCCAGTGATGCACCCCCAGCATGTAGCCCTCTGGCCGGCTCATTCCTTCCTCCGATGGTCTGAACCTTCCTGACAGGTACCAACTTCTCATCAGGCTGGCACACACACTTTTCATACCACTTTCCTATGATGTTGCCACTACCTGCAATGCCCACTTTTATTCCTTGATGCCTTGACAAGTATCTGTTTGTCCTTTGAGAGGCTCATCAGGTTTCAGGTTGATGGAAGAAGATTCCCCTGATTCTCTTCCCTCCAGCTTAAAACCGCCTGCCTCTGCATCCTCTAGACTAACTACCTCGAGACCGCACATCGTGTTATCTCAGGCTGAGTCAGTGTCTTCGTTCATCTTTTCCGCCACTAAACTCCTTCACGGCTTTAATGCTCCCTTGTGTCTCCAGAGCCTAGCAGACTGCCTGGGACACAGCAGGTGAACGGGACAGACGTGAGCTATGCCCTGACTGCCGTGGACGTCTCTCAAGGGAAGGAGACTGAAACACCCAGGATGGCTGGGGCATCCTGGTTAGGGGCATGATAGCATCTCAGTGCTCCTAGTTTGGGAGGTGCTGGCTAGCCACTATCTATTCCAGCAAATTCCATCACTGTGATGCTTCTCTCTGTCTGTCCGTCTCCTCTCTCCTGTACACAAGCAGAGGTAAGTAGTGGGGAGAATTAGAATCTACCTTTAACCAGTCTGCCTTGAGCTCCATCTTTGAAATTATGAGAAGCAACATGTCTGCACTTCCTCGTGAGGATTTTCTCCGTGTCCATTTCTGCTAAAATGCCCTCTTGATATAAACAAGGGGAAAGTTCACCGGCGTACCGTGGACTATTCATCACATTGCTGGCATTCTGCGAAGAATTGGGCTGGTCAAGTGGCTCTCAGGTCTCCCTTACCTATCCCAAGCCGGGAGCATCTGGATTTTGATTGGGTTCTTGCCAGAGCTCATTAGCATAGTGTACCTTGACCTGGATTAGGGAACGGCAGCTTCTGCGTAGAAAATGACCAGAGCTTGCTGGGACCTGAACCCAACATGAGATTTCTATGACACCGTTTTGTCTGCATCTCCATGAGCAGTCAGAGGTAAGGAAGCCACCACAAACTTTCATTTGTAAGATAAATAAGTCATGGGGATGTAACGTACAGCAGAGGGAATGTAGTCAGCATTGTAATAACTGTGTACGGTGACAGGTGGGAACACGACCTACCGTGGTGACCATCCTGCAACGTATGCAAATAGCGAATCCCTATGTCGTACACCCGAAACTTACAGCGTAAGTCAATTACACTTAAATTAAAATAAAAAAAGAAAAAGATAAGGAAGGCAGAAATCCTGAGGAGAGACAAATGTAAGGGCTGGGATAATGGTCATGCTATCACGGGAGACCCAGGGTCTCATCGGTTCTGGTTGGGTTTCTGCAGAAATGGCAAAACCTGAACACACTTTGGCCCCCCCAAAAAAAGGAAGTCATGACAAATGTAACTTTTTAACCCTGAAGGAAAACTGAATTTGCTTGTTTATGTTTGAAAGGCTGTCTTGTCTTGCTTCCTGTGTTGTGGTCTTAGCTTTCAGAGAAATATTAAGTTCATGTTCATTCATTTGGCAAAAATTTATAGCAGAAAATAAAATCTAAAAAGCAATGTAGTCTTTCTGCTGCAGGATTTTGGATTCCCCTTCCCTTAACTTAAAAACAAAAGGATTAGATCTACATTGTGTGGGCTTAAAACAATGTCTTTGAGTGTTTTGAAATGCGAATCTTGTTATTCAAGGTTTTCGGGTTTTTTTGAAGATCCATCTGTTCCAGTTAGCTGTAACAAATTTTAGACCATCCAAGTTACTGTTGTTAATGTTGAGAGAGCTAGGTACATAAAACCATTGCTGTCAATTTATACTATTTGGGTCTAATATATTTGCTGTTTAAACCTGAATTGAAGTCAATCTGTGACATCCTTTCTTCAGTAACTCAGTGTTTATTTCCCAAACAGAATTTTATTTAAAACTCAGTGGGGATTTAATCTAGCACATCTGTATTTGAATCAAGAGGCAGGGGCTTCATGCTTTTTGAGTCGTGGACCAGTAGGTTGTAGGTGAGTGTGGGCAGGTAAATAGTGGGGGAAGAGTCTTCTATTAGCTTGTTCTTTAGCGGCCAAGAACTTCCTTTGTATGTCCAGGTCAACAGTCTCCTATACCCTTATGCTTTCCCTCAGTCTGTCTCGGTGACCGACGAGGATTCGGGTTACATAAGTTTATATAACCAAGGAACAGAGCTCACGGGACTTTCTAAGGTTGAGCCTGTTAAACTGGCTTGTGGTTTGAGTTGCCTATTAAGTAGTTTTGTGTTACATCATCACATCCCTGGTTTTGACTGGAGCAGCACCAGCAAATGGAAATGACACACCTGTAAGCATGTTTCACTTCATATTGTGCTGACAAGCTCATTTCATCTCAAAATGATTGGTGTTTTATTTTTCCCTTCAGAGTTGAACACTTCAAATTTCTTTCTTTTCTTTTTTCTTTTCTTTTTCGGTAAATCCCCTTTAACCAGTTAGAACTAGAAACTAGTCTTTCTTGTGGAGGAAGAAACACAGTTGGCACAAACGTTTTTGAATGGCTGTCGTTTATATAATATCAGTTAATCCAAGTAAAGTGAGACAGAATTTTCTCGTGGAGCGGCAGGGGAGCGTGGAATTGCAAAAGGTAAAGTCAGACGGTCTTGAAGGGTGCTTTGAATTAAACAAAGTTGAGAAACACTATTTCAGAGCAGGAGCTCTCAAACCATTTCCCCCCCAGGGGACGTTTAGCAATGTTTGAAGATGTTTTTGGTTGTCAGCAAGATTGGTTGCTACTGACACCTAATACCCGACACCCTACAGAGACAAGGGAACCCTTCCCCCAGCAAAGAGGTCTGAGCCCCGAAATGTCCATGTTGTCAAAGTTTTAGAGACATCTGATACTAGAATATCACTTGAAAGTATTTGAGGATATAAAATGCATACTAGATCATCCATCTCTATGGAAATTTAGATTTAAAAAAGACCTCTAGACATGTCTGGTTGTGATGGTCCCCTCTGGTAACAGAACCGATCGTTGGCTAATTTATGAAGGTGTATCCGTGGAAACAACTCCAAGCCAGCTCTCCCTCCAGCCCCAGCCCAAGTACGAGGAGGAAAAGCTCCCAACCACTGGCTAAGGGTGACAACGGTCCTTACTACAGGGCCAGCAGTGAGGCAGGAAGCCCAAACCCGAGAGGGGACGTGGTGATCTCGGTTCTTCTGATTGCCCGGGGTCAAGCTTTATTGCAGCCAGGTCACTAATGGCTTCTACATTTGGTTTTTGTTGTTGGTGTTTGCAAAAATATCAATGAAACAGGCTTTTCTGGCAGATGAGCACTGAATGATCAATATTACTGTCATTTCTTTCTTTCTTTCTTTTTTTAGTGTCAAAAAACAGTCTCCTGGTCTAAATTGCTTAGGTGGACTGATCTGACCGTGTTAAGAGCCTTTGAGAGCAAACTTCTCAAGCACGTCTACGGGCAGTGGGATCATCGGAAACTTGTGAGCGACCTGACTTTATCATGGAACCTGGGAACCTTGGTGCTGAGGACAAAGAGACGTTAAGCTGGGATATCAATGATATGAAGCTGCCACAGGTATGTGCTTGCTTTAAGTCTCTGCCTTCTGCGTTTGGCTGTGAAGTCTTGGCCATTAACTTGCTAAGATCTGGAAAGAAACTGGTTAGGGTTCCAGCTGGGTAAACCCCTCTCCTCCAGAGTTTCAGCCAGACATCCAATTGCGGACTATTTTTTTTTTTTTGGCATTCTTTTTCATTGAAGTATGGTCAGTTTAGTCAGTTTCCAATGTTGTGTCAATTTCTGGTGGACAGCATCATGTTTCATTCATACTTGTACATAACACATATCTGTTTTCATATTCTTTTTCATTGTAGGTTACTACAAGATATTGAATATAGTTCCCTGTGCTCTACAGTAGAAACTTGTTTATCTATTTTTGTATACAGTAGTTAGTATCTGCAAGACTTTCAAAAGGAGATGCTAAGACCTCTGATTTGAACAGGCCCTTACTTACCAGCCTTCCCTGATGACAGACAAGCAAAGAAAATGTGACTTCCCTTATCTTTCAATGTTGGCTTGGTTCAGATGGCACTCCCCTGGCCAGCTAGCAGAACAAAATCCATGATAATGTATTTGCCCATAGATCGACTATTCTATTTTTTTAATTAAAAAAAAACTTTTTTGATGGAGGTACTGGGGATGGAACCCAGGACCACATGCATGCTAAGCATTCACTCTACCACTGAGCTACCACCCACCCACCTCAATCAACTCTTCACAATGCATCAGCTCCCGTGCAGCCTCATCTGCTCTGGTAATAGGTTTAAACAAAATCTGTCACTGGAATGCCCCAGCGATAGCGCTTTTCTAAAACTTCTGTAACTAATGCACATTCCACACGCACCGGGCTGCTCTCCAGCTATAGAGTGACTTCCACGGCTTGTTCTCTTTGCCTTCATCTTTGGCAATTGACTTGAGAACTCTTAATTTGGTGGAAAACCGTTGTTGTTTAAAGCTGACTTCCTTGATCTCCCTTGTTGGCCTCTGAAGGGTGTTCTCACTGGAAGTTGTTGGGGAAGGTAATGAGGGAGGCTAGGACTGGAGACCACCAGGACCAAGTAATGGGGGCTTGACCTCAAGCTATCCCGCCTGATTCTGCAGGAAAAGACATCTGGGTTACCCCCAGCAGGAGGGAGGGAATGGGGCTTCCATCATCTGGATTTATAACCATTCCAGATTCCCCTCTAAAGAAGGCTTCCAGACCATTCCAAATTTCACTCTAGTGAAGTTTTCCTTTTGTTTCTCTTTTTGTTTCTCCCTAAGTCCCCTCCCCCATTCCCTCTTGGTGGGTCGGAGAAGACCCAGAGCACAGGGTACGCCCATTCATTTAAGGAGGATGAAATAAACCACAGCGAACTCAGGCAAATCTCTATTTTAAGGATCTGTCTTTGTAGTTGTTGGCAGTCGGTTTACAATTGTGGTATCTGTTTTAGGGGGGAACCTTTAAGGTGAATTTTAACTACTCCTGGATCAGGAACCCGGATTCCTCACTCAGGATTGCAGCTCATGAATAGAGAGTCTGGGTGTCCTCAGAATCAAGAGTTGAAGTAAGCAGGTCCTTAGATGATTTTTCAAAGTCACATGCTAGAGCAGGAGGTGTTTCCTCCCAAAAAAGTGACATTTATTCAAAGTAAAAAAAAGAAAAAATGAAATGTGTCCATCTCTCGCCTCCCTTCTCTCCCTCTCTTGCTTTTCATCATCCCGCCCACTCCCCACCCCAAGGACTGACCCCTGGCTGGGACGAGGCAGCAGAACGGCCCCTCTCAGATGAGGTCGGCAACACTGAGGGACATCTCCTCAATGGCAGTGTTGTAGAGGGTTTTGATGTTAAAGCAGGAGTTTTAGTGGGGTCTAAGAACCCTTGAAATGGCGGGCCACCCTGTCCTACCCAACACATATTTTTTTCTGGGACATTGGAGTCATATCATTCATCAATCAGTAGACAAAAGAAAGGAAGAACCACTTCCCTGGAGGGGATCTCAGGGCTCATAAAAGTTCATATTCCAATTGAATTTTCCAAAAAAAGCATTCTCAGCTCCCCAAGACATTAAACTGAGACGTTTATGACAAAAACCCATTGAGTTTTGGAAATGTACCATTTTTAGTTCATAGAAAAATTCTGATGGCTGGTGGAAAGAGGTACATGCCCTTCAGTCTGTCAAATATGCCAGGGAAATAGTTAAAAGTGCACCATGCTCCTTGACATTTTCTCAGCAGAGTCAACACCATCCACATCTGGGTTTATGCCGGCTTTGGAATCATATAGCAAGACCCAGTTGAGGTGAAAAAGAAAAGGTCTCGAAAGGATTTCCAAGCACAGTAGATTTTTTATATTCTGAGAGAATATCTGAAGGCAGATTGGTGGACCCTGAGAAGCACAGGGCTGGGAGACCAAAGCCCTGGCTGTGAATTCCAGTTCTGCCCGCCTTCTTCTTCTTCTTCTTTTTTTTTTTCCCCTTTTCCCCTTAATGGAGGTACTGGGGATTGAATCCAGGACCTCGTGCGCATCAAGCATGCACTCTACCCCCGAGCTGTACCAACCCCTAGTTCTGTCTCTTTTCATTTGCAGAGCTTCATGGAGTGGGCTACAATTTCTGAAGCTCCCTTTCCTCTCTGAAAAAGATGTGATTGTACTAAATGGTCTCTTACAGACTCTTTTAGTTCTAATAGTCTAGGATTCAGTGACCTGAGATTCGGAGAGTGTGTGGCCTGCATCCTAGAACGGGGTGGGGGTGGGGGGCCAGGTACCAACCACAAGGCTCGGCAATTGTTAAACAATAAGTGATAAATTCGGAGTTCGTGAACGCATGGCTCCTTGCTCTATCACCTGTGTGACTCTAAACAAATCTGTTTTCTCAAGTCTTCATTATCGCCTCTGTAAAATGAACACAGTAACTTCTTACATATCCTGCATAAATCTCTAAGCTGCTTAGAACAAATGTGTTCCCAGAACGTGCTCTGTAGTGTGTAAGGTACAAGGAATTTTAATGGGTGCTGTGAAGAGAGAAAAAGCGAAGTTCTAAGTTCAACCAAATTAAACAGATTTTTTTAGTGCAGACGTGGCGCCTTCCTTACTGAACTGGCGGCTCTCCCAAGAGGAGGCTGTGTCCAGTGTCACCCTAACTTATTTTTGACCACGGAGCCCTTTTTTCATGGAGTCCCTCAGGTGATGCGTGTTCCTCAGACCACCTGTCTGGGCATTAAAAAAATGTGTTTTAAAGGATTACGTTCATAATAACGAGCAGTGGCTTGTCATGATTATACACTCCCCTCTGTTCATTCTCTGCTCCACCCGTACAAAGAATTTATAGTTTATTTCTTGTACTTTTATCTACTTGCAAGGGTTTCTGCAAGTCCCTGCCTCTTGTAGACAAATTCCTTTCCTGGTAACCGGCTCACCTGCTTCAAGTCTTGAGATGGTCACCTGAGTGCTCACTGCATCTTCCGGTCGTAGAAACACCATAGCTTTTTATAGTCCCAGACAGATCAAGATCTAGGGGTTAGAAGGAGGGAGACAGCTCTGTCATAGAGCACATGCTTAGCATGCACTAGGTCCTGGGTTCAATCCCCAGTACCTCCATTACAAAAAAAAAAAGATCCAGGGGTTAATTTTTGGCAACAGTGAACCATGATATCTTCCTCCAGATGTCAGAGATTAATGGGTTTTTTTTTCACATTGGGATATTTTTATGTATTTAAATTGACATTGTTAATTCTTTCTGCCAAGTCCTTAGTAAATATACCCTTATTTGATACAAACCTACAGGTTCTTCTCAACACCATAGGGTCATGAGGACTTGTAGTTACCGGTCTTTTGCAATGATTAAAACAATATTCAAATAACTCGAAAGTTACTTCACTGAAATACTTAAAAGAATATTCTGGGGAGCGTTTGAAAGATCTGTTTATAAATAGTGATTGATACATTTAGTTAGGGATTTGATGTTGAAGATAAACACTTCTTATATAAAACATTGTTTTAATACATCACTCTACTAACGAAACTAGTTATTAGATATAACACATTTCTAACACTAAAGAATACATTTTTATCTTCATATTTATTTTATTCATAAGACTCTTACCAATGACGAATGGTGACTGGGATGTACCAGACACCGTCGCAGGCTCAGGCATGCAGGGGAGGTCTTGAGCTGGGTTAACTTTCAAGGAAGCACTCATGATCTTCTGGTCCAGTGGAACCAGATTGGAGAGAATCAATGCTGTGGAGAAAAATGCTAGAGGTGCTGAAAGAGGGTGTAGGTAATTCAACATGACCTGGGGCCCTGAGGAGGCAGGCAGAGTTTCTGGCAAAGGGCATTCCCTGGAGAAGCTCATTGTGGAAGGTGAGAGGATTAGAGCAGGTGAAGCTAAGAGAATCAAGGCAGAGCAGGGACCCAGAGTCTGAAGGCTACTCAAAGGCGACCCATAGGGGAGCTTGTGCACAGGCATTCAGCGAGGAGATCCGGGAGGCTACCGGCCGGAAAGGGGGTTAGGACGCACGCTAGCCTTAGAGGAACCGCTTATTTTAAAGGCAGTGGGAAGGCATTAAGCTTATTGGGCCGGAAAGCGTTATGATCAGATCAAGGGCATGGAAAATCTCTTGTCCTCACCACATCATCTCTCCCTGGATTTGCTTCACGGTGCTACTTCCTTCTTTCTAGCTGAAGCTATGTCTTCATATACCTTCGTTTCCCTTGTTTCTGTTTAACTTGCGGTTATTTTGATACCATTTCTCCTTTATCCAGTGCCCGGGGAGCCAGCTCAAAACTTCAGACAACTAACTTATTCAAAACCATCATGGATAAAAGTCTTTTTGTTCCTGTATTGTTGTTGTTGTTTGAGGGAAGGTAACTAGGTTATTTATTTATTAACTTAGTATTATTTTATTTGAAGGAGGTACTGGGGACTGAACCCTGGACGTAGTGTATGCTAAGCACACACTCTACCACTGAGCTATACCCTCCCCCGATAAAATTCTCTTTATTCCAGACCAATGTAATAGACCAATTTTGCTT